AGGGGCCGCAGAACAAGGGGCCAAGCCCTCCCTCACTAGAAAAAAAAAAAAAAAAAGGCGTGTCAAAAATTCGATAACAAGTATAAACAGCGTAATGCCGATTCACGTTTAACATAAAAGTTATTCGAAATGTTTCTCTTTTTTCAATTTCGTTGTTTTTCAGATTGTTCATAATTGGATTTGAATCGCATGTATTCTAAAATTCGACCGAAGGAATTAAGATTTAGCTTTAAATACAATAGGCTTTAACGTATATAATTAGTTCCACAGTTTGTGTAAATCTGTCACATATGACGGTTCAAGATTTGAAATAATGAAATATTTGGAACTTCATTTACTGATCACGAAAAGTATATATCAATTCAATCAGGAACTGACTATTCTTTATTTTTTTTTTTTTGCTAGTGGGGTGGGAGTAAGTCCCTTGTACTGCGGCGGCCACAGACAATAGGTGAGGGTGATTGTGGAGCAATTGGTGGAATGAAGATTGGCAGGGGAAACCGAAGTACTGGGAGAAAACCTGCCCCAGCGCCACTTTTTCCACCACAAATCCCACTTGACCAGACCCTGGATCGAACCCGGGCCGCCGCGATAGGAAGCCAGCGACTAACCGCTTGAGTTATGGCGTGGCCTTGGGTCCTCACTATAGTGTGTACTAAACGGAAATACTAGGTGTGTGGGATTTGTCCATCGTCTTATATTCTAAAGATCAGAACCTCACGGAAACAGATGCAGTTTCTGAAAATTTGTTTCTTCTAGAATACCGCACTTGGATAGGGAATACAAATTCAGTACTCTGGAATAAAAGCAATGATTTTACGAGGTTAAATTGTTATTTGCGGCACAATGTTACTTCTTAATTGTCCACACGTCATACTGTTTTATTACGTGGAGAAAGGGACTGAGAAATAACGAAGTTATGTTCACCTGACGAAAGGCCGACATAACAGAAATTTCAATATTGATTCTGAATTCGGGTAATCACTAATAATGCGTTGGATGACTTTTGGGATTAAGCCAATATAATTTATTTGTTTAGTGGTTCTTTCAGGAGCTTAATAAACCACCCTGTCTTTACAAAACTTTATATTTAGATAAATCGGTAAGAAACATTTCATAACCTGCGTTTAATGGCTCGTTGAAAGTCTCCAGTTTGCACTTAGATACTCAAACAGATTGTCCTGATGATTATACGGAATACATTTATGTAGTTATAGTATAAAACTTGCAATAATTTGTGCTATTCTAAAGACGAGGTGGTTCTGTATGGGTGTGAAACTTGGTCTCTGACATTAAGGGAGAACACAGTCCGAGGGTGTCTGAGAACAGGGTGTTGAGGAGAATATTTGGACCGAAGAGTGATGAAGTGACAGGAGGTTGGAGAAAACTGCATAATGAGGAGCTTCATAACCTGTACTCTTCTCCAAGTATAATTAGAATGATCAAGTCAAGGAGGGTGAGGTGGACAGCGTGAATGGGGTGAGAAGAGGAATGCATATAGGATATTGGTGGGAAAGCCAGAAGGAAAGAGACCACTAGGGAAACCAAGACATAGGTGGGTGGACAATATTAAAATGGATCTTAGAGAGATAGGATTGAATGGTACGGATTGGATTGATGTGGCTCAGGATAGGGACCAGTCGAGGGCTCTTGTGAACACGGTAATGAACCTTCGGGTTCCATAAAAATCTAGGATGTTCTTTGGTAGCTGCAAGATTGATGGCTTCTCGAGAATGGTTTAGCTCCGTGAGTGAGTGATTATAAAGACAAGCAATATATTTGGAATTTCCTTCATGTCTTCACTAAGTAGATTATAGTCACAAAATGTACCAACCTTAGAAAAAAACAACTTAAGTCCTATGATGCCTAACTACCATTTAATGTTGTCAACCTGATTTTTTAATGGGCAAATAATACGCAAGCACTCACTGTGAGCTTCAAAAACAGGAGAAACTACCTCCAAAAATATTTTCATTACCTAATTTAGATAAAATTCAATAAGATGTCATAAGCTGTCTGACATACTGATCTTTTAGCGAATTTTCTTTTGAAGGAATAGAAGCATGCTTATAAAATTACTTTGTTGTACAGGTAGAGATTTCCTACAATTGCGATTTGTATGTTTAATTATTAATTTAAACGTTTGTTTATATCGAAATAGGCAAACCCAGGAGAGATGGAGAGAGCTGTGAAAGACGCCATCGAAATAGGATATCGCCATTTTGATTCGGCTATGATATATGGAAACGACCATGAAATTGGCAGAGCAGTGAATGCCAAGATAGCCGACGGCACCGTCAAGAGGGAAGATCTATTTATCACAAACAAGGTGCTACAATCTCATAACTGAACATGGCTATTTCGGCCTCACTTCAACGAAATACTGAATGGAGATTCACTCTACGGAGTTTCGTAATCCTAATTCTTATTCCGAAATTTCAAGACTCGAAATGCGTCCCGGAAAACTGATAACTAGTCTGAGATTTTCTTATTTGGTTCAACCGAGTTCTGAAACAGGCTACAACCACTTCCTTTCCCGTCATTTTCAATTCATTTCTTGAATGTCTCATTCGACATAATTCCGGTATTGCCACCATCACCAACAAAATCAAAATGCAACACTTTTGTAAGAAGTTTCAATTTCAAGTGTTTTGTATTCAAGGATTCCTTCTAGAGGACCTTGCATAGTTCTTAATAAAGGCCACGAGTCAACATCTGTAAATTTCGCAAGTTGCCTGGCAAACATCCCATTATAACGTTATCAGTAGGAACGACACATTTCTGTATTCCTTTTATCAGCAGATTTCTTCTGTAAAAAACAAGACTTTAAATGTAGTAGTTAAATTCATTTCGTTTCAGTTGGTTGAGGGGCTATACTACAAGCTGGATGGTCGCGGGTTCAAGTCCGATGAGGTCATTGGATTTTTTTCAATTGACCTAACCCTTCCAGCCGCACTATGGCCCTGGGGTTTACTCAGCCTCTAACAAAAATGAATACCAGGAATTAATAAAATAATTATCCTGGGGAGTAAAGAGCGGCTGGCGCTTAAGGTTGACAACCTTACCGCCATTTTTGAGTCGATTGTCTAGACAATGTGGGAACCTCAACGTCTCACAACCCTATGGGCCTTCACGGCCTGGTAGAGGGTTAGCTTTGCCTTTTAACATTCTTTAACGACTACTAGAATTACATATTTCCATTTGTATACGTTACTACGTTAAATATAAATGGCACGCGGTAGCGTAGTTGGTTGAGGCACTACGCTACAAGCTAGAAGGTCGCTGGTTCGAATCCCCACGATTATACATTTCAATTTGGTTTCCACCGTGAGAACAGAAGCGCTTTTCTGTCAACTGTTTATGAATTATTAAATTTGGATTCATCTCGTCACTCAATCATCTATTAATAAAATTTAAGTACGTGTAGTTTTAGTTCTACAGTTTTCTCCTTGTCTCCAAAAAATTTCATTTTGTAAATTTTGTTATCTCAGATATAATTATTATCCTCCTCCAGCTATGGAACACGTATCACAGACAGGATCAGGTGGTACCAGCTTGCAAGAAATCCCTCGAAAAAATGGGTCTTGACTACCTAGATCTGTATCTCATACACATGCCAACAGCACTCAAGGTAAGCACTTAAATTCTGAACTCAATACGGAAAATAAAATTAAATAAAGAAAATTTAATTTTCCTTTACTTGTATAACCAGTAGGATTAAAATAGATAACAATAAAAGCAGATTTATAGCAATCTGGCTTTAACCCTTTAAAGACTTAAATTCTTCTAAATAAAAATTAAGTTCGAATCCCACAAGAGACATATTAATTGCCAGCGGCAAAGGTCAACCGATTAATAATGAGAAAAGTTCTATCTGCGGTCACGGTAGCCGAGCGGTCTAAGGCATGTGCTGTCTTCGCTCGCTTGAAAACCGGGATCGTGGGTTCGAATCCCACTGAGGGCATGGATGTTTAGTTTGTGTGTGTATGCTTTTCGTGTGTTTGTGTACAGGTAGAGACCTTGCGACGAGCTGATCACCCGCCCAAGGAGACCTACCGAATGTGTAAGATCGAGAAAAACCGAAGTGAACAGAGTTCATGGAGGTAGGCCTAGGCCCACTGGGGCTGTAGTGCCAAGGGGGGAAAAATAAGTTCTGTCTTCCAGGATATAATGCCGTGTAGTCTGCTGAAAATGACCGGACGTTTTGGAGGAATATACCTCCGTCATCAGGACAGAAGAATCAGCCATGCATGAAACCAGCAAGCAGCCCCGCTTGCTGCCTACTTCTTGCTCCCTGGCGCTATATCACAGATGATAGAACTCTTCATAGTCACCGCTGTCAGAACGTCATATCCGATTAATACAATCTAGAGAAAGAAAATCGCTCTTTCCTGTGAGAACCACATGAAAGCCCCCTTCCCTCGCCGAAGAGGAGACCACACTTCTAAACACGTTCATGTCTAGGACAGAAGAAATGTTTTTTTTTATTGCTAGTGGGGTGGGACTAAGTCTCTTGTACTGCGGCCACTTCTGGCCTACTGTACCAGCTCCAGATGATAGGTGAGGGTGATTGTGGAGCAATTGGTGGAATGAAGATTGGAAGGGGAAACCGAAGTACTCGGAGAAAACCTGCCCCAGCGCCACTTTGTCCACCACAAATTCCACTTGACCAGACCCGAGATTGAACCCGGGCCGCCGCGGTGGAAAGCCAGCGACTAACCGCTTGAGCTATGGCTTGGTCATAGATCTCGACGAATGTGCTGGCGAGGACCAGAAACAATTTAACCTACCGACCGAAATATTGGTACAAAATTTGAATGGAAACCATTAGAGAAACAAAAGTTGTATCATCTGAGATATAACGCCGTATAGTCAGTTGAAAGTCAACACAAGGCACAGCGATCTAATGGTTACCATACAATAGTATTCCCAGTGGAGCGAGGTAGTAATATTAAATTACCAATTATTGTAATACATTTTGTCTAAATTTCAGGAAGGTGACAACCTGATGCCAGTAGACGAGAAGGGGAACCTTATAACCAGTGACGCTGATTACGTAAACACATGGAAAGGAATGGAAGAGTGCGTCAGGCTCGGGCTTACTAGAAGCATTGGCGTGTCTAACTTCAACAGCAGACAGATACAGCGGATACTAGATATCGCTACCATCAAACCAGTCGCAAATCAGGTAAGGTAAAGTCTATCCAGTGCTAAGATAAGCTATCAAGCTACGTAGACGCGGGTGGAACAGAGGTACACTATCGCACACTTTTAACCCAGGCACTAGATGCAGGTAAAAGGTGAGCTTCACGCTCCGGTCGCTTTACCACTGGTGAAAGTGCATCGGCTACCCAATGGATAGGAAGCTAGGGGAGCCCGAGGACCAGTATGAATACTGTGGAGAAGACAATACTTCTTACCCCTGCTGAGAATCGGACCCCAATTCCTTGATCGTCCAGCCAGTATACTGATCGGTTATCCCTGCTGGGGCTGTTAAACATTATCTAGTAAGGAATGTCAGTCCGGGCGTAACAGTAAACAGATGAAACAAGTACACACTCATGTTACGTTTGAAAATATAAAATGTTATGTTGGACGTCCTCCATTTTTAAGTACTCGTACCCCTAGGGGGAAGACTCCATTTTCAGAATCCAACAAGCATGAAACGAGTAGCGAAAAGAAATTTAAGAATCAAATAATGAATTTTGCTGATAAATCGTAATAATATGATAAGTAACATAATATTAATCTAATTTTACGTTCTACTTTTGGTGTCCATGTGCAACGTCGCTTAATCTTCTCTCGTCATGTTCTCTTCATTGACATTGCATGTTTCGGTAGCAGTAGAGATGTGGGCAGCCGAGTCCTTCATCATAAGAATCTCTGCACCTCATGATGGCCCGTTTTGCAGAAACATGTAGTGATGATAAAGAGAAGACGAGAGGATATCAACCGACGTTGCATTAGACGGGAAAAAGTGGAACGTAAAATCAGATCTACGCAATGCGAGCGGATGCTGCAATTTAATATTATAATATTACTCCTCCAAAGCTGCTGCTATATGCAGCGCCTACTTTAGCATTAATAAAATATGAAATTTTCCCATCAAGTTTATTTATGAATTTTATATTAATAGCGACAATTTCCATGCATAGCGTTTTTTTTGTGACTCAAGAACTGAATTTTTAAATATTATTTACTTCACTTCGAAGTGAAGTAAATAATACCGTGTTTACGCATGTATAGGCCGCGTGCGTGTATAGGCCGCAGCACAATTTTCAGACAGAAATTATAGAAAAAATAATTTTCTTGGAATATTATTTCAGGAGTAGAACACCCTGTATTACTAATTATGAATATATTTTTTTTAATGAAGTGTGATTTCGAATATTTCGAATATAAGCCGCACCTCAGTTTTCCTCTTGAATTTTTGACAAAAATGTGCGGCCTATACATGCGTAAACACGGTATTATTTACTTCACTTCGAAGTGAAGTGGCCTAAGAAACTTCTAATATTGTTTCAGATTGAATGCCATCCGTACTTGAACCAATCCAAAATGATCGCCTTCTGCAAGGAGAAGGGAATTGTGGTCATAGCGTATGCTCCATTTGGAAGGCCAGGAAGCAAAGTGAATTATATAAGGCACGATGTTCCCTCGTTGCTGGAAGATCCAAAGCTACAGGAAATCGCTGCTAAACGTGGCAAGACTGTAGCGCAGGTTATCTTGCGGTATCTGGTGAGTAACAGCAATAAATCTTTCTGTGAGCTTGTAGCGAGCAAAACAAAACAGGCATAGATTTCCATGTAATTAATCCATTCACCTTTTTGGATTGAACGCAGTGATTCTGTTAAGTATTCACGAGATACAAAGTTCGAATCTCGGACCTTTTAAGATTTCATTCAGTCTATCCAGGCAATTTCTATGAGAACAACTTCAAACTGGCCACGAAAGCCACATCCTTTGAAATTCTTCATCCATAAGCATCATACCACTCGAAGCTACATATCCTATGTGGCTTAAAAATTTCAGTCGGAAAACCTGAATAGAAAGGTCACTTGATTGACGGAGGCGTAGGTGCGAGGAAAATAATAAAATGAATTTTTAAAAAATGAGGTTTGAAGATGTGTACTGGTTTAATCTGGCTTAATACAGGTTAGAGTAACGAGCTCTTTTAAGCACTATAACGAACCTTCGTGTTTCATTAAGTGCAAATAATTTCTTGAATCGCTGAAAAAAGGTAAGTTTTTTAAGTATTAGTCTATTCCATGAAGTTACTCACAGATAGGTGTTGAATAAGAATCTTCATTCGTTTATTCTGCAAAAAAAATAATAAAAATAAAATAAACTCGCAAGTAACCGACACTGCGTCACCAAATATTTCACGCGGAAAGTAGCAAAGGGAAAGTTAGTTCCAACAAATAGAACAGGCTCTTTCGGTAACTTACGAGTACAGCGAGAGACTGACGACGTTGCTCCTGAGGCTCAGACATACCACCTGTCAGAATTTTCGCGCCCACCGTTTTTAGTCACTGAAAAACGTGACAATATGCACTATTTTGATAGTTCCGTAAAATTGCAACAAATTATGGCAGACGGCCGACTTCCAGGGGTAGCCAGCTTCACAGGTTAAACTATACATATAAAAAGGTGAGATAAATCTATTCCTGTAACAGGTCGTGGAGACCCATAGGGTTGTGAGACGTCGAGGTTTGCACATTTTCTCTAAACAATCGGCTCACAGATGGCGGAAAGGTTAGCGTTACGCGCCGGCCACCCTTTACCCCCCACGAAGATTCCTGGTACTCATTTCTGTTAAGAGACTGAGTCGACCACCAGGTTCATAGTGCGGCTGGACGAATTAGGTCAATTGAAAAAAAAAATCCATCTGATCGGGACTCAAACCCGCGACCTTCCCGCTTGTAGCATAGTATTTTATTCAGACTCAACAAAGACAATATGCTATAATTAATCGCAAGCGTCCAAATCATTAAAACTATTTTAACCCTGCCACTATTTAAATTACAGGCTCATCTTAAATGTTCATTTACACAGTGAGCAGACAGTTCTAATGTTTGGCACAACCTCAGTATGCAGCCTCTTGTCGATTTGAAAGTGCCAGTTAGTCGACATTTACGAACCCTTCGCTAGCAATTTTACTCTTGAAAATCGGTAGTTACTATTAACTCCAAAAGTGTTTAGTTGATCCTCAGAAGCTCAGAAGTACGAATCCTACGCCGTATATTTCAATATTCCTACCTCGTCCCAGTTTCGTCTAAAAAAAAATTATATTATTTATTGTAAATTTATTTATGTACAATTAATTATTAACTTTAAACAATTTCAGATACAACATGGCGTTGCACCAATTCCAAAGTCATCAAATAAAATTCGTCTACAGGAGAATTACGATGTATTCAACTTCGAACTGACTCAAGAGGAAGTCGGCTCTATAGATGCACTCAACAGCAACAGTAGAATATTTACATATCCGCAGTAAGTGGCACAAATTGTGTTTTGAATATATACATTTTAAAGCTATTTCTCTTCTCTGCGGTTACACTATTATTATTATTATTGGAGGGGGTGGGTTTCCTCATGCACCGCGACTAATAGTCTATTGTAGGTCCCCCTTTGATATTCTACTAGTCGCCATACCCTACCTGTACTGGTGCGTGCTGTCAGCCCCGTTCAGCCAACGAGGTCGGCCCTCGGTACCTCGATACTTCCCCCATCTACCAGAGGCATTTGAAACTACTTGGGCGGGAAACTTTTTACCTAATTTTAACTCAGAGGTCTCCTAGAGACATGAGGATATTTTACGTGCCGTAAATCTACGACACGGGACTCACGCCTTAAAGTCCCTCCCGGAGGACTTGTTGCGCTTAGAGACTGCGAACTCTTGCGAAGTGACATAGTCACAAGTCTGGACATGGTACTGGAGAATTCCACATGAGGTCCCAGGTTCCGACAGTGGTGACTATGAACACTGCCGTCCTCTCTGATGTTACGGCTGGCAGTTCACTGACGTCTCGGTGGAACTTAGTGCCTACATTTTCGCCGTCGACTAGTAAGCCATGAAAGCAGGCGAATTGTTCTACTTGCTGCTTGCTTCTTCGCCTTACTCCTCGACCCTGAAGATAGAGACAGTAGGATCCTTTGAAAAGTCGGTAAGATTTAACAGGGTAAACAACGTTCTGCCGGTCATAGTAGCCGAGCGGTCTAAGGTATGTACTGCAGGTCGCGCTATAGCTCAAGCGGTTAGTCGCTGGCTTCCTACCGCGGCGGCCCGGTTTCAAACCCTGGTCTAGTCAAGTGGGATTCGTGGTGGACAAAGTGGCGCTGGGACGAGTTTTCTCCGATCACTTCGGTTTCCCTTGTCAATCTTCGTTACATTAAATTCTCGATCATAATCATCCGGGGCAGGTACAATAGACCAATCAGTGGCCGCCGTGCCGAGTGGACCCAACTGGACTCCACCCCCCACTATGCGATTTAAAAAAAAATATATACTGTCTTCACTCGCTCCGCAGTCGGGATTGTGGGTTCGAATCCAATTCAAGGCATGGATGTTCAGTGTTTATGTGTGTGTGTGTGTGTGTGTGTGCGTGTGGTCAGGTAGAGGCCTTGCGACGAGCTGATCACCCGCCCAAGGAGTCCTACCGAATATCTAAGATTTAGTAAACCGAAGTGAAATGGAGAGTTTCATGGAGGTAGGGCAAGGCCCAAATTGATGATGTAGCGCAAAAGGGGGTGGGGGGGAACAACGTTATATCTTAGAAGGTAGTGAGCTTCAGAATTTCCTCCTCACTAAATATTACTAGCGTGACAAGATCAATAAACTTTACATGGACGGGGTACATAGCAGGCATAGGGAGATGAAAAATTGTAAATGTAGGAGAATCCTTGGACTTAATTAGGGGCCACTATGAAGACATGTGAGGGAGTACAGTTACAGTTTTATGCATTCTTAACTTAGGCACTAGACGGAAGTGAACAGACAGCTGCATGTTTCTGTGCTTTTACTTCCGTGGGGCGGGGGGCCACAGAGTTGGTCTGAATGCTGTGGAGAAGAAAAACATCTCTTTCTCCTGTTAGGAATCAATCACAGATTCCTCTGTCGTCCACACTGTATCTTAGTCTCCTGGTGGAAAAGGGACAGTAATAATAAAACGTACCTTAAGAATAGGCCACGAGAGGGTGGACTGGATTGTTGGGGCTGGGGACGGAATTTAGTGGTGGTCTGTCGCAGGTACTGAAATGAACCTTCCAGTTTCATAACGCGAGAAGAATGACTGTGTCTAAGGGAGGCCCCTCCTCTGTGGAGTTAGTTATTCACTTAAAAAAAAAATTAATTCTCATAGTGGGAGTTGGAGCCCAAATGGGGACACTCGGCACGGCGGCCACTGATTGGTCTATTGTAGCCTGCCCCAGGTGATTATGATGATGGAGAAGTTGGTGGAATGAAGATTGGCGGAAGAAACCGAAGTACTCGGAGGGAACCTGCCCCAGCGCCACTTTGTCCACCACAAATCCCACTTTACCATACCCGGGATCGAACCCTGGCCGCCGCGGTGGGAAGCCAGCGACTAACCGCTTGAGCTTTGGCGCGGCCTCTAGTTCTTCACTTACATTTGTTTCTGTTTTCAGGTTTGTGGATATGAAGGAGTACCCTTTCAACACCGAATTCTGAGGATACAGACATTAAGATTCATCAACAGAAGTTATGTAACCTCATTTCATCGACTTGTTACCATAGTATCTGGATTGAAATTGCGAAACAAAGTTTTAAGTCAAATATACTGTCACGTGTATGAGTGACTGCATACGAGGTATGGATTGATGCCTCGATTTGTTGATCACTTATACACACAATTCGTAACTACAGTTGACTATAACAGCCTCACTGGCTAACATGCTCTAAAAATCACTGTAACTGCAACACACATAATTTCTCCTATGTCTTTATTAGTCGTTTCCTGGTAACGGATTCTGACAATGTCCCTTGCTTAAGTTCTTACCGTCTGGAGAATATCACATAAGGCAACACAACTACACTCTAAACTCTGTCCCGCTTATAACCCCTCGGCACGGACCACGTAGAAACCAAAGCTCCTAGTTGTTTCCATGGTTGCTTACGCAGCGACTTGCACGGACTCTACAGGAAACACCGCTTTCCAACCTCTTTATTGGCATGGTGGTCGCTGCCTAGCAAAAGCTACTGTCTTGTTAGTTTTTCGCGGTCGTTGCCTAACAACGGATCTATACGCCACAATACTTACAACCTTCAATTACGCTTCTAACTTCATACATTCATGAAACCCACACAGTGAAACCAGTCTTTTAAGATGCCCAACTCTGAAAGGTATGAAATGGATTCGGAATTTCATATTTGTTAATTATGTAACTGAACCAGAAATGAATTAAAGATTTTGCACGAAAACAATGTAATTAATTCTGTGTTCATGGAGGTGATGTTTGTAATTATACGTCCAGTCATCTTGTGTATGCATCTCCGACCGAGTGTTAAGTAGAATTTGTTTGCGTGTTGCTACATGCCACACCAGTCACTGATCTCTATTGAATATTACGTTATCGACGAAAGCATTAGAAACACACCTGATTGCCACTAAATTCAGTTACTGGAATACATAATTAAATAAAGGATCTGAGGTTCTCACATGCTTGTACTGAGGTTTTACTCAGGTCTGTCTGACAGAGTTAAGACAGAGTATCTTTTCAATCTACTGCAATGTCTACACGTAGACATTCCCATCCAGAGGTTTCAGTACAGCAACAAAAGAAATTTATGTAGGATCTGAGGTTCTCACAGCGGTGGTTATGAGGAGTTCTATCTTCTGAGATATAACGCCAGGTAGGATCCGAGGATTTCACAGCGTTGGTTATGAAGAGTTCTATCTTCTGAGATATAACGCCATGTAGGATCTGAGGTACTCACAGCGGTGGTTATGAGGAGTTCTATCTTCTGAGATATAACGCCAGGTAGGATCCGAGGATTTCACAGCGTTGGTTATGAAGAGTTCTATCTTCTGAGATATAACGCCATGTAGGATCTGAGGTACTCACAGCGGTGGTTATGAGGAGTTCTATCTTCTGAGATATAACGCCAGGTAGGATCCGAGGATTTCACAGCGTTGGTTATGAAGAGTTCTATCTTCTGAGATATAACGCCATGTAGGATCTGAGGTACTCACAGCGGTGGTTATGAGGAGTTCTATCTTCTGAGATATAACGCCATGTAGGATCTGAGGTTCTCACAGCGGTGGTTATGAGAAGTTCCATCTTCTGAGATATAATGCCATGTAGGATCTGAGGTTCTCACAGCGGTGGTTATGAGTTCTATCTTCTGAGATATAACACCATGTAGTCGGTTGAAAGTCAACCGACATTTAAGACGAGAATGTAGCTTTCATCTTCAGGAACAAAGAATAATCTTGCTTGTCACCCGCTTTCACAATGGTTTCTTTCTCGGCTTATTCTTCCAACCTGAAGGTGGAGACGACATTTTCTTGCGAAACGTCAGCTGACTTTCAACGGACTACATAGCGTTATGTCCCAGAACATAGAACTCTTCATAGGTAATATAGCAAAGAAATGGCAGTAGAGGCCGCTGAGAAGACGACACAAGGTCAAAGATCGAGCGGCTATTACCGCAGTTTGTGTACTATTCAGTGTGCAGAGCCACTTATAGACACAAAATGTCTCGGTAAACCGGTTGAGAAATGCTAGAAAGAATGTCGTTTTGTTCGGCAGTGGGCATATACCGGATCGGGTCGATAAGGCAGGTTAGTGTACCAAGGTTACTTCGTGTGACGAGTCCGTCCGTACGCAACATGGCGCAGACAGTCAAGCTTAACAACGGCTACGAGTTTCCTGTTCTGGGTCTGGGAACGTACAAGGTATGTGCGAAGTTCTTACTCTGTGGCTTTCAGTGTCTCTAACGTATAGACGTTAGGGAGTCTGTATAAAACGTTTATACCTGTCGTTACGAACGGTATGCATATATCTACAAAACGTTAGCCTTTAGTCAGGAGTTATGTAACGTAATGGATAATCCTACAAGTGCATAGCGCGTTTCACACAAGTTCGCCACAAACTTTAGGGCGTTCGGTGAACTATTCGAAACACATAAGTGACTCACGTGGTGGCCAAAACGCTTTATTTTGAAATTATATGAAATGTTTACGACGCGTCCTTATAAACAGAGATATATCTATAGGCCTACATAGGCACGCACGCACACCAATGTTAAAATTTTTTTTATTGCTAGTGGGGTGGGACTAAGTCCCTTGTACTGCGGCCACTTCTGGCCTACTGTACCAGCCCCAGATGATAGGTGAGGGTGATTGTGGAGCAATTGGTGGAATGAAGATTGGCAGGGAAAC